ATCACCATCATCACCATCATCATCATCATCACATTCTCGGGGAATTCTATATAATTAAAATTATTTAAACATAATATATATATATATGTATATATATACATATATATATACACATAGATACTGGACAGCTGTCCCAGGTGCTGCCCTGCTTCGGAATCTTCACAGATGCAGGCCACGGTTCAGGGTATTTTGAGGGTCCTCAAACAGCTAACTCTTCATGCTGACAGTTGACCTTACAGTTGAACTCGGAGGTAGCGCCTTTAAAGTCTGCTAGTGCGATTCAAGAACCCTGGCGTTTTTTTGGACACACCACCTTGCGCTCTCTTCCGGGCTGTGAATTTGTAGTTGTTTGATGTTTTTTGCTCATATCATTCTGATAGGCTGTGATGCAAAGCCCTCACTTGAAAACATGATCTCTTTGAACAAACCATTTGACAAAGACCAGCGGGTATGTTTTTCGCATTCGTGGTGATTGCCAAGCAGATGCTCCTGTAGTTTTCCACTGTAGGCGATGATGTTGTTTTCATGATGGAATACGCACCATCTGGCGATGTCTTTGAACTGGTCTGGAGCTCATGACCCTCAGATGCGTGAAAAGACATAGACATAGACCAAGACAGGTCAGGTGAAGTTTGCACGGTCCATACCTATGTTGGCTCCCAAAAAGCAAGCAAGCTTGCAGGGCCCTCGTGGGCAGAATTCCCGTGCAATCTGATCTTCATAGTCTGTGAATCCAGTGGTTGTGATGATACGGACTATCGCCACCGCCACTACCACCACCACCACTGCGGATTATGGCACTATCATGCACTATCTAGATACAACATGATACAGCAAGGATGCAGCTAGCAATGATGGGGATGTCAACCAATCGTACAGGACAAAGCGGCGAGCCTGGCACTGAGGCCAGCTGTTTGGGAGAGCCAGGTCCAGAGAGGGAAGCAAAGGCACGGACTCAAGAGAGCTTGCGGCTATATCGTGCACATCGGCAAACAATCGTGTATCCATATGACGGTTGACAGAATACAACCCAATAATGAGTACATTCAAAGAACGCCATTCTGTCATATTCTGTCATATTCTGTCACGACATGTTTCCTACACGGTTTCCTGCATTGCCAACGTCGTGTTGACCAGGCGGCGCAAGTCCTTTGCTCTCTGCTTGAGAGCGTCAAGCGAATTCATGGTCCGGATCCCGGCGGAGGCATGCGCAGCTGTTGCCTGCAGGTCTGGATGCCTTTTCTTCAGGGTTAGATAGGGTACCAAAGTCCAAGATCTTGCTCCAGCTCTGGAAAGACAATATATATATATATATATATATACAATATATAGATATGAATTAATGCATATATATATTTATGATTATCTATGTATATATATATATATTTATATACAATATATAGATATGAATTAATGCATTGTGGCCGCTGGGGGCGTCGCACTTTACCACCCGAAGACGAAGACGAATTCCGAAGACGAATTCCCCTTAGAGGATCATGCCACCCGAAGACGCGAAGACGAATTCCGAAGACGAATTCCCCGAAGACGAATTCCCCCCGAAGACGAATTCCCCCCGAAGACGAATTCCGAAGACGAATTCCCCGAAGACGAATTCCCCCCGAAGACGAATTCCCCCCCGAAGAAGACGAATTCCGAAGACGAATTCCCGACGAGACGACGAATTCCCCCCCGAAGACGAATTCCGAAGACGATTCCCCGCAGACGAATTCGACGGACGAATTCCCCCCCGAAGACGAATTCCCCCCCGAAGACGAATTTCCGAAATTCCCCCCCGAAGGCGAATTCCTTCCCCGAAGACGAATTTCCTCCCCAAGACGGGTTCCGAAGACGAGTGGCACACTTCCATGCATGGCAGTTGAAACGACCTCTGGCGCCAGGGGTCGTTTCTGTGGATTCCGAATGGCGACGATCTGCAGGTATCGGTAGGATTCTGTAGGTTCAATATGGTTTGGATTGGTTTGGCTTGATGCAGACCAGACACACACCACAGCAAAACACGTCATTATTATATAACTTTTTATTGAACATTCCAAACTGGGCCAAGTACTTTTCAGCCGTACCCAGAGGATCCGCGGACATCCCCCCGGCAATATCCCTTACAAAGCAAGGAGCTTGGGCTCCCAAAACCACCAAGTTTTGCATAAGCACTTTCCTCTACAACGCTTGGATCTTATGCTCTGACATTGATGCTAAATTAACTATTTTTTCAACATAAATGAATCCTAACTTTGTAGAGGGCGGCTTCGAGCCTGATGTGAAAATTTGTAAAAAATAGTAACCAATATCCAGCTTTGTAGAGCCAGACCCTTCTGATTTTCAATCAGTTTCAATTTCGTAACCCAGAGAGATTTCATATTTTCACTGTTTGAACTTTGTAGTGGGAGCGGGTTTGTCTGCAGGAGTAAACAGGTTTAGGTTTGTAAGGTGTAGACTTGTCCTTGTCCTGTAGGTTTGAACTGTGTAACTGCTTGTCACAGTTGCCGTTTTTCCTGCTGTGCGATAAGATTTTTGTCAATGATTTAATGAGATAATATGATATTATGACATATACTATGACTATGAATGAATGAAAAGAAAAGGCAAACAACAAACTTGGGGGCAAACGCATAAAAGAGACAAAAACATGTGTGCTGATTGGGATAACTTGAAAAATGTGCAAATGTTGTGAAACCACGTGGGCTTTACACAAATCAAAAAAATGGGATTTTGGAGTTTTTGAACGTCAAGACCTGATGCGAATTTGTAAAGCCTTATGTTGTGAAAAAACACAAATCATTGAGCAACCTGAGTCTCGAGCCTTGTTTGAACTTCGTGGAGGCTAAAAATAACTTGATACTTCATTTGTGTTTGCAAAACTGGAGCCCCCAAGTAACCCATGGAAGTCACAGGGGGATCCGCGGACCATCACTGATTATCAGTGCCATGTTCGTGGGCTTTTCAGCAACCAGCCGCTCCAGCCGAGTCGGGAAACCCAGCCCCACGGAAGAGCTGTATTTGAAGAGCTGTATCAGTTCAGCATTTTTTGTCACCCGCATATGACATGCTGCTTATGTCATGAGCGAAGGCAAAATACTAGCCATAAGACATACCCATTCAAAGGATGTATTCAACAAACGAGCGCAAACTCGAAGATTTTGCTGCCAGGTATGAATGTCTTCATGCATTACGGCCCCACTGTCTTCCAGACGATCTTCCACATTCAAGGCTGACATTTTTCCTGACACTGAAAGATCGTGACAGAAACAGCGTTAGTATGAATTATTGATTTGTAGTTTCAAACAGTCAATCTAGAGTGCAGTCGCGGGATAAAGTGAATCTGAGGCGCATCCTTTCTGTTTGCTGCGTTGTCCCGAGCCAAGCTTCAACATGTTCAATGTGAAGTTTGGAGGTTACTTTGCATTGCATCCAGGTCAGGACTGGTGAATTTTCTAAGCACGTTTCCGGCGTGGCTGACTCTTTTGCTCTTCTCAGCATGTGTCATGACAATTTGTTGTCAACCGATATGAAAGATGTGTTATAGGCAGTCGAGAAGAGGAGTATCAAGACAAAATAGTGAGAAGTGCAAGACAATAGTTTGCATCGCAAACACTTTTACACACAAAAGCTTTTACACGCAAACCTTTTACCCACAGAAGCGTTTACATACAGAAGCTTTTACATACAGAATCTTTTACACACAGACGCTTTTACACAGACACTTTTACACACAGACACGTTTACACGCAGACACTTTTACACACAGATCACAGACCCTTTTACGCACAGGAGCTGCTTTTACACACAAACAAGTGATTGAATTTGTTCCTTCTGGATCCTTCTGGATCTTCTCGGATTCTTCTGCCTTATCCAAACTTCGATACCGATTGTTCCCTGGAAGATCTGTGTTAAAATAGTATTCTTCTCCTGATCTTCGTTTTTGCTTTGGGACCGTTTTTGTGACTGGAACATACTGGAACCGGAAAACGTTTCCATCTTCAGAAGGATTGCCAGCACATCGTTGGCAAAAAAATAGAAAAATATTCATGCTGCAAAAGTTGCATGAAAAAAAATGGATCTATTTCCGAAAAGGAGGAAAGACGACTAGAGGGTAAAAACCCTACAAAATGGCACTGGGAAAAAGGCAGTTGACGCTGAGGTCTTGACAAGATAGAGGCTCTACAAAATGGCTCTGGGATTTTTATATGTTTGATAAAATCATGAATGCACTGGTTTGATCATTTTGGTGATGTAAGGGATGTGCGCGATGTGGATTTTGTTTGGCACCAGTTCTTTGGGAAAAAGCCTTGGCAGGAGCTTTCAGGAAATATCCTTTTTTGATGCACAAAGGAGTGGCTCAAGGCCGAGGTAAACCGAAGACTGCGTGCGTGATATCCAGGTCAAATAGAGAGATCTCCTATAGAGGACGCGCGAAGATGACCTCACTCTAGCACGGGTCTCAGCATTGCATGTGCAACAGAGGCGGAAAGGTTGCGTCAGCCAGATTTGCTGCCCATGGTCCAAGAGTTGTAAAATTGGAACATGAAGTCGGACTCATTTGTGTTTACGTTGTGATGCTTTCACCTTAGTACGATTTGCTCAAGTGACACGCGCTTCAACTCTTTGCTCCAAAGCCAGGAAAGCCATGGCGGAGATTGTTCCCGGAGCTCCCAGGGGGACTCCTGCGACCAAAGAGTTGCTGCCAGTGCGTGACTGCGGCGACGCCGCAGAAGGCGCTGCGGCACTTGCGTGCGTGATATCCAGGTCAAATAGAGAGATCTCCTATAGAGGACGCGCGAAGATGACCTCACTCTAGCACGGGTCTCAGCATTGCATGTGCAACAGAGGTGGAAAGGTTGCGTCAGCCAGATTTGCTGCCCATGGTCCAAGAGTTGTAAAATTGAAACATGAAGTCGGACTCATTTGTGTTTACCTTGTGATGCTTTCACCTTAGTACGATTTGCTCAAGTGACACGCGCTTCAACTCTTTGCTCCAAAGCCAGGAAAGCCATGGCGGAGATTGTTCCCGGAGCTCCCAGGGGGACTCCTGCGACCAAAGAGTTGCTGCCAGTGCGTGACTGCGGCGACGCCGCAGAAGGCGCTGCGGCACTGGTGCGGCTCCCCACGGACGAGTCTCCTTCCAAGTTCTCTGTTGCCTCCCAAGAGTGGCCCGACGCAGACATCCAAAGCCAATTGTGCGCCTTCGCTACCGATGATGGATTGGCTGAAGACATCGAAGCTTTGATGGATGGCTTGCCATCACCAGGGCCCATGGGATCTGACGGAGCTCCCAAGGGGACTCCCACGAAACAAATGGTCAACGCGCTGGAAACTCAGCTGCTGCCTGTGTGTGGATTGGCTTCGCATGAAGAAGGCATCCAGCTGTTGCGGGCCTGCCTTGCCACTGCCCGTGAAGATCCCACATACGGAGGGACCGAGACCCAGAGCGAGTCTCCAGTCTGGGGGTGCAACGACGATTGGGCATTGCTGCGCCCAGAGTTAGAAAAGCGTACCGCACCTCTGTCGCCCAAGCTCCCCACGGAAGTGATGGCCTTGCCAGCTGCTTTTTTCCGAGACCCTACTTTTGCAGTGCCAGATCCAGAGCAAGACTGCGTCGTTGTCTTTGGTGGGGTGGCCAATGTAGAGGGCGCAGGGGCTGGAGGGTGCCATTTCATGCCTTTGCTGACCCAGAGGCAAGCCCACAGCTGGCACTCCAGCACCTCTGCTCACGAAAAATGGCATGACATGGTTCTCGCAGTGGAAGGCAGGGGTGATGGGCTTTTGCTCGTGGACAGGGTTCGGGAAGCTGGAGACTGCTACTTTCACAGCTTGCTGATTACCTTGCACGCCAAAGGCATCCTTTTCAGGGCTGCGGCAAGCAACGAGAGCACGCCTCCACCGAGGCAGGCAAGGTTGTCGACTAGCCCACCTTCATCGCAAGAGCCTGGTGCCAATCGAAGGGGGCTCTGCTTTGATGATGCCTTGGCCGGGGAAGAAGTTGTGGGCTACAGCATGGAAGACCCGGTGGAGGGGTGGGTCCAGAAGCTCAAAGCAATCAAGACTGCGGAAAACTTGGAAGATGTGCTTTTCCCGAACCGAATCTTTGAGGGCTTGCGCAACAAGGCTGAAACTTATGACACAGTGAAGGGCAACCTTAAGATGTGCTGGGAAGATACACGCACACACAGGCAGCTCGCGGTGGAAGAGGATATGGACATCCGCTTGTGCGCTGTGGGCCCCATCGCGGATGCAGTGCATACCATCGCGCGAGCGAAAGGGGTGCACACTGAGGCCTTGCTTGGCTGCCTTGACAGCAACATTGGCTTTCTGGAGGCCAATGGCACGACTCTGTGCCACAATCCTCGGGCACAGCATTTCATCCCCACCGGAAGCCCTGTCATCGTGGGATCTCCATCCTCCACACGCAAGACGGCCTTGATCCAACAGACGGACGACTGGATGTGTAACGCCCCCCACGCTGGTCAGGCTTTCCAGGACCGATCAGTCCTCACAACTGATAGCACCACCAAGGGCATCCGCAATTGCTTGAAAGACTACGGAAGATGTGGGGTCACATCCGACGAAGCTGCCAACACTTTCGACACAAAGATGTCAGACCGGGAGTCGGGCATCCATTTCATAGCCGTGACCAAGTTGAACACCTGGACACAGGGCGAGCCCGATGCCCCGACCACAGGTAATGGCAGCTTCAGCCTGACCCATTACAATTTCCTGCTGAAAGTGGCTGGCCAAACAGAAGTTGTGGAAGAGGTCGTGCAGCCTAGAGTGCACGGCTTCCAAAAGCGATTGAAGCAGGTTTGGTCATTGTCAGAGAACCCGACACAGGACCAGCAGCTGTTCAAGGCCAGTAACAAGCTCATCCAAGATTGGCATGACTGGATGCATTCCAAGTGCGTGGAGCAGCCGCCGGTCGTCATCTCTCTGAGTGGGCAGGCCCTCAGCATGTACAATGCTGCCAAGCAGGCCATCACTGACTTCGTGTCTGAGAACAAGCTTCCTCCCGTCTTCAGGACCAAGCTGGTCTTTTTCCACTCCGATGTGCTGCGGGATGCACACAAGGTGTTTAGGTCGGTGCAGTTTCTCACAACCTTGTGCCCAAATCTTCCTGAGGATTCACGGGAAGCCATGTCTTTGGATGAGTTTACAGTGGCACTGCACAAGTGGATCCGACAAATCCAGTGGCACTTTGGAAGCTACAGGTTTGCAGCCTCGAAAAAGGACGAAGCTGCGGCAGGACTGAGCAGCAACAGCAAGGCCGCGGAATCCAAGCAGATCTTGTGCAGCATCCCTGAGACAGAGGAGCAGGCGCCCTTGGATGCAGAGGCTTTGTTTCTCCGCACCTTGATGCACAGAGCCCCTCCTGATGCTTGGTTCACCTCAGCCGACATGAGGTTGCTATTGAAGAACTTGAGAGGGACAACCTTCAAATCTGAGCTCAGCAAAAGGATTGAGAAGGGCGTCGGGCACCTGATTGATCATGGCCTGCTGGAGGCGGGTGAAGCCAAAATGAAGCAGGACGATTTGAAAGACTTGAAGTTGACAGCAAGAGCTGCCAAGCGCTCAGGTGAAGCGCCCTGCTCCGGCAAGGCCGGGAGGCTCATGCGCAAGCGGTCTGCTCAGGAGGTCCAGGACGATCCGAAAGCCTCGGCAGAGCAAAAGCGATTGCGCTTGAGCATGAATGATTTCCCGGCCTGAGTTGCAATTGGCTTCTGAGTTGCGACGTGGCTGCTTTCTGTGAATGGGTCACAGTAGCCGTAGCCCGTGTCTGGCAGCTCTTAGGCCTCCCGAATTATTTGTCCTTCCGCAGGACCGCATTACATAAATGCGCTATTGTCGAGCTTGTGTGTGGCGGGAGTCAAAACAAGATGGCCGAGGTTGCTGCCAGGAGATTTTAGCGTTCCATAGCTTCTACATGTCTTCCCAATCGTTTGCAACTTTACCACCCGAAGTACCGTTAGGTTGCACTGTCCCGGGCAGGCCGTCTGAGACTTAGCTTTGTGTTTCCACACGGCTAGAGGTCCTGTGCCGGAAGCTCAATTCCTAACTATGATTTGCATTTCTTTTGTGAAGCATCGGGGCAATCTAGAATCTAGATTGAAGGTTTCAGTCGCATGGGTTGCCCGGGTCGACAGGCGCACACCGGTCTCCGGCGGAAGGGGAGTTCCAAGCAAGCAGTGAAGCATTTGAAGACATCAATTAAGTTTCCTGTTTCCAAGTTTCCGGAGTGTCTAATGATCGAGTTTCCGGGTTTCAAATGTCATATTTTCAATCTTTATTTTCAATTTGGTTAACGTTGCAAATGTTTCAGTGTCTTTCGTGGGAAGTATTCGGCTCAAGGTTACGACGGACGCAATGTCAAAACTTGTAGACACACTACAGGCGAATACCGTGGAATGGCTGTCACACATGGAGATGATGTGGCTGCTGCGGACGTGTCGCCTCGCGAAGCGTTTGGTGACGACTTCTCCAACCTATTTAGATCGCAGCTTCTACTACCAGAGGAACAACATGCCGCCGCTGCCAGCCCACTATGATTTTGACTCGGACACCTCCGGCAAGAGCGATTGAGAGTTTACAAGCGGAGCCGAAACTTGTTAGACAATCATGGGAGGAAAAAAAAGGTTTCCGTCTGTGTCGTGTTTTGCTTCAGCTTCTCAAGTTTCCAGATAGTGTCATTTGAGTATCGTTACCCGTTTCTGGCGTTTCAGTTTCAAGCAAAATGATAACCATTCGAGTGTTTGGCTCCAGTAACGGCATCCTGTGGAACTCAAAATTTCACTTGTTTTCACTATGCCGCTTTCGGACACAGAGGCCCTGGATGCCGCGGAAGCCGAGCCATGGGGTAAATCGAAGCCAATCAACGATATACCAGACTGAGTGCGTGAAATCCAGGACATATCCCTATGAGGACGCGCGAAGATGAACTCACTCTAGCACGGGTCTCAGCATTGCATGTGCAACAGAGGTGGAAAGGTTGAGTCAGCCAGATTTGCTGCCCACGGTCCAAGAGTTGTAAAATTGAAACATGAAGTCGGACTCATTTGTGTTTACCTTGTGATGTTTTCACCTTAGTACGATTTGCTCAAGTGACACCCGCTTCAACTCTTTGCTCCAAAGCCAGGAAAGCCATGGCGGACATTGTTCCCGGAGCTCCCAGGGGGACTCCTGCGACCAAAGAGTTGCTGCCAGTGCGTGACGGCGGTGACGCCGCAGAAGGCGCTGCGGCACTGGTGCGGCTCCCCACGGACGGGTCCTTTTCCAAGTTCTCTGTTGCCTCCCAAGAGTGGCCCGACGCAGACATCCAAAGCCAATTGTGCGCCTTCGCTACCGATGATGGATTGGCTGAAGACATCGAAGCTTTGATCGATGGCTTGCCATCACCAGGGAACATGGGAACTCCCACGAAACGAATGGTCAACGCGCTGGAAACGCAGCTGCTGCCTGTGTGTGGATTGGCTTCGCACGAAGAAGGCATCCAGCTGTTGCGGGCCTGCCTTGCCACTGCCCGGGACGATCCCACATACGGAAGGACCGAGACCCAGAGCGAGTCCCCAGTCTGGGGGTGCAACGACGATTGGGCATTGCTGCGCCCAGAGTTAGAAAAGCGTACCGCACCTTTGTCGCCCAAGCTCCCGACGGAGGTGATGGCCTTGCCAGCTGCTTTTTTCCGAGACCCTACTTTTGCAGTGCCAGATCCAGAGCAAGACTGCGTCGTTGTCTTTGGTGGGGTGGCCAATGTAGAGGGCGCAGGGGCTGGAGGGTGTCATTTCATGCCTTTGCTGACCCAGAGGCAAGCCCTCAGCTGGCACTCCAGCACCTCTGCTCACGAAAAGTGGCGTGACATGGTCGTCGCAGTGGAAGGCAGGGGTGACGGGCTTTTGCTCGTGGACAGGGTTCGGGAAGCTGGAGACTGCTACTTTCACAGCTTGCTGCTTACCTTGCACGCCAAAGGCATCCTTTTCAGGGCTGCGGCAAGCCACGAGAGCACGCCTTCACCGAGGCAGGCAAGGGTGTCGACTAGCCCACCTGCGTCGCAAGAGCCTGGTGCCAATCGAAGGGGGCTGTGCTTTGATGACGCGGAAGATTTGGAAGCTGTCTCTTTCCCAGACAGAAATTTGGAACCCTATGACATTGCTAAGGGCCTGGATGCAGGGGCATTATTTCTGCACAGCTTGGTGCACAGAACCCCGACTGCTGCTTGGTTCACTTCTGCCGATGTGAGGCAGGCGTTGAAGAACTTGCGCGCGCCCGTCTTCAGTAGGAACCTTGTCAGAAAGATTGACATGGGCGTGGCGCACCTGATTGACCATTGCTTGCTGGAGGCTCGTGAAGCCAACATGAAGCAGGATGATTTCAAAGACTTTAAATTGACAGCAAGAGCTGCCAAGTGCACAGCTGAAGCGCGCTGCGCGGGTACGGCCGGAAGGTTGCTCCGCAAGCGGTCTGCCCAGGAAGTCCGGCATGATCCGAGAGCCATGGCAGAGCGAAAACGATTGCGCCTGAGCATGAGTGATTTCTCGGGCTGAGTTGCAATTGGCTTCCATGATTTCGGCCCGATTAGCCCGTCTCTGGCAGCTCCCGCGCCTCGCTAATCATGTGTCCCTGTATGGGATAGCAATAGAAGAATATGTTTTTTAGACCTTGTGTGGCGAGAGTGAAAAACCAGATTGGCCGAGGTTGTGCTCCTCTGCCAACAAGACATAATTATGACTTCGTCATTTGCAACAAGTGAAGATAGTCATGAAGCTGGAACATGAGCTCCGCAATGCTTGACTTGCAATAATGCAATCGACTCGCAATCTTTGTTCGCTTTCTTGCATGGCTCAAGTATCAGCACGAAGCTCCCCGGGGGACTTCTATAGAGGATGAATTGCAGTATGTTTTTTTGCTTCTAAGTGTGTTGCAGGCAGGCCATTTTCTAAATTCAACTCCTTTTACATTGGCTAACACTGCACACTTGTATGCGAGAACCTCTGCTATGGTGGTGACGCGCGTGGCTCGATTCAGATGCAGGCAATTTAAAAAGAGGGCCGGGGCTTCCAAACCGCTGCGAGTGAACTGCAGCAGAGCTTTCCGAAAGCCTCGTCATCTCCGCTGCTCTCGGGACAGCGCGGATAGCCAAGGGTTGGCGGTCGCAGGTGCTCCGGTGAAAGGTCTGGAGCAAAAGCTGCAGGAGACAAAGCGCTTGGGTGCGCTTTCTTCCCGGATGATGGCCGGACGCACACTGCAAAGATTGCAAGGCTTACAAAACACGAGTTTGCTCAACACTTGTCGCAGCATTGAGTCCCCCGCGTCAGGGGCCGTGCCCGTTGCAGGACTGACAGCTGAGCTGCATGGAACTGCTGTGTTGGTTCTACACACGTTTGTGCGCCACGGGAAAGCTCATGCGCATGTGGCACCAATTGTTCCAACAGCCAACAAGAAGCTACCGCAGGGTGTTGACTCGTTCTTGGACAGGCGACGGTCGTCCACTTGTCGAGAGGAGGAGTTAACAAATTTAGGAGTGGCATGGCAAGTTGTAGGCTTTGTGCGACACACCGTGTACTTGAAGCGCACGTCCTTCGCTGGAACAGACCTGCCCATGACATCGGATCTACTCTCCCTTTGGGAAGGGCTGCGCAATGTGGCTGCTGCCCCCGTGGACATACCATGTTCAGACGCGGTAACTGATTGGGCCCCTGCAGGGGCAAAGGCCAACATTGTCATCATCTTTTCTGCATCCGCGGAGGAGCACCAGCGCAAACACAAGCATCACAAGCTGGTCCCTGTAGGCCGCGTGAAGGAGCCTGTCTTTCTGTTGGATCTTCCTTTCCCACGGATCTTGGATATGTCCTTACGGCGATGTGAAACATGTCACCAGCATTTCCAACCACAACCGGAGGATGTACTCAGGGTCATGCCAGACGTGGTGCTGCACAGGAATCCATCGCACTTCAAGCAGGTGCGCTACATGACCCATAGGTATCTGTTGAACCTGCTGCTTGCAATCTACGACCTGTTCAACCTCAGAGGAGTGAGGCGGAGGCTCACGTCCATCATGTTTGCCAGCGCAACCGTCCATGTTCTGTCGGGGGTGAAACCTATGAGCCCACATAGTCTGGGGGCCATGGTGCTTGCAGTGCCAACAGCTCAAGAGTTGAAAATTATCGCACTGAAGGCTTTCACCATCTTCGTCCAGAAGCAAGTGGATCATATGGTTGACCAGCAATGCCTTTACAACTTCTCCGTTCTCCGCGGTGATGGGCACTACGACGTTGCTGCTAGAGTCTATGAGTATGACGCGAAGCAGAAAGCCAGAAAGTATCCTTTCACCTGCATCCTGGCCTGGTGCGGCACGGATGGAAGCTTGCTGAAGCCGTTTGTGGTGGCGCCAGGAGAAGCATTTCATGACCAAGTGAAGGACCTGGAGCCATTCCTGCGCAAGGCCAAGTCTCTCCGGATGACGCATGGCTTGTCCAGCACGGATTCACGGCCAACAGTGCATGCCACAGATACATACAACAAGCACCGTCTCTTGTGGCCGCCCATCTACGACAAGGTATGGATGGAGCAGCAGGTGGACGCTCAGGGCCACACGAAAAAAGGAGATGTGTGCAAAGTGCAAAGGTCTGGTGTGGGGGAATCTGATGCCACAATGGTTACAGGGGAGCCAATGCATGAACTCATCAACCTCAGGAGAGTGCTGCCCAGCGTGGGACATGACTTTGCCGACATCTATTTTGACCACGCAGAAGCTGGGCTTGGCATTTTGTTGACTTTTCAGTGTTCCATATGTTTCGGTCATGAGATTGGAGCTGCAGACGCAGGCAAAATGTGCTATGGACTTTCTTTCTGTTAAATTTTATCCATGCATTTTTTCATTCAGTCACGTTTGCCTTCAAGTACCTCATGTTTGCCTTGTCCAATCCTAGGTATCTGCTGGCAAGGGGCACTGACACCAGCATTGTTCGCCGACTTGAAGCTGCGCCGGGATGTGGCAAGACCTTTTTCGCTGTACTCCTCATGGATGCACTCATTCATGCCGATGAAAGGGATGGGCAACTCCGGGTGCATTGGATCACAGCCCCCACCAAGCAGCTAGTCTCCCAAATTGCCAATGCTGCAGCCCAACACATACCCTCTGCCATGTTTGCACCCGTTGGCCAATCTCCAGAAGGCGAGGAGCGGCTATGGCAACATCAAGCGAGCCTGTGCAAACGAGCACACAGCATGTGCTCCGCTTGGATGCTTTGGCGCAAGCAGCGACTGACGCCATAGCAGCTGCCAACGCAGCACGCTGGAGTGCCAACACAGAACTAGCTGCTCGGAACACATTGCGGGAGCATTTCCTAGCCAGCTTTGACTTTTTGCATGGCGACGCGTGGCAGTCTTGCCTTGAGCACCATGAGCAGAGCGTGCGGCTTGTAATTTCAACAACAACTTACAAGCTCAAGCACGAGGCCAAGAATCGTTTGGCTGTCAAACGGCTGCTCAAAGACAAAGGAAAGGGTGGCCACGTCAGCGATGAGCCCGACATGCTGCCTTGTTCGGTCACTGTCGCAGCTGCTGCAGACGAGGTATTTCTGCTAACAGCGAACGACCCCGCACAGCACGTGCTTCCGATCCATGCTCGAAATGAGTCGCGCTCCGGCGATGACGCGGTGGCCGAGGAGAATGTGAACACCTGGATCAGCCATGCAGGGACTGAGCTTCGTCTCATGCAAACAATGAGGCATGGATCTGCAATCACAGAGCTCCTCCGAGCAACGTGGCCTGAAACCTACCCGGACCTTTCCCCAGCTCCCGAGGCGCCAAGTTCCACAGTCCACACTGTCTTTTGTGGTTCTGTGACGTGGTGGCAGGCTACTTCCAAAGCGGGCGGCCTAGTGCATTGGAAAATCTTCACCAAGAATCTTGTCTACATGGTTTTCTTCCTGGTTTACCATTGCCATGTCATTGTCCCACGCAAGTATCCTACAAAGACATATTTTCTCTTCCGAACAAGAAAGGTCTTTGTTACTTTCGGGTCCTTGCCTCGACACATTCTGTTTTTCGACTCCGGATCGCAGATGTGGTGCAAGCCAGGCTAGATGCAGGTGCATCAGTGCTCGTTCAGTGCATCTATGCAGCCTTCAGGGACCTCCTCGCCCTTTTCCTGCAAACTGTACGTGGCATTGCAGTCACAACAAAGCAGAGTGTTGATGGCAAGGTTTCGAGTTTTGTGTTCGACCAATTTTCTGCAAAAAATCAAACGCCAAAGTGTTGCTCAAACGCCAAAGTGTTGCTGTTCTTTCAACCCATTAATTTTGATCCAGAAAAAAACTGCCATGTCAGGTGGCCGTGCTGACAGCCCGACAAGCACGAGGTAGCCAATGCCACACGGTTGTTGCCTGCCTTTTCCGCCGTTATGACTTCGACAAAGATTTTGTGGCCCATGCACGTGACCCTGGCAAGGTAGCAGTCATGATTTCAAGGGCCACCCACGAATTGATCTTGTTTCACGAGAGGACGAGAGATGATGACTTCATTGGGAGACTGCAAAACTTCCTCTGGCACAGCCGCTGGACAAGAGGCTACAGCTATGAAACCCTCAATGTCGACGAACAGCACCAGTGGACTCCCGACGAGCACGCTGCGTGGCAGTGGCAGGAAGATGAACCATGGAAGGCTGCTCTATCTGATTCTGACTCAGACGAAGATTTGCACTTCGCAGAGATCTTTTCCGACCCTGCAATGCGAACGCTGTGTGAGCTTCGTGAGCACGAACGCCAAGTCCGCCGAGCAACCCTTCCCAGGTACAGACCCTCCAGTGATGTGCCTGCCGATCTCTGGTACCATGTGCAGCATTTGGTCTTTGCCAAAGCAGTCAAAGCCGAACAGTTTGACAATGAAGACAGTGAAGAAGCAGATGAGGCTGCAGATGTCAAGATCTCTGCGGTCATCTCTCTTCCCATGTTGCCCTGCAATTTTCGCCTTTTCCGCAGCTTTCGCAACCGAGGCGAAATGTGGGATTCGGTGCCCACTGCCCTTGCTGCACAAATCAGCAGCCGCCTTGAAGGTAGCACAATTTCAGTGCAATACCACAAAGCTGAAGTCAGCTACCATGGCCAACACGTCCTGGTCGCCCAGCGCTGCCGGTCATTCAGACCAGAGGCACAAATTCATCACGGCGGCGAAATGGTTGCCAAGATTTATTTCGGAATGGGCACACAAGCCAACCATTGGTCTTCCTACAATTTGGTTTGCTTTGTTTTCCGGACTGCAGCCCTGCGGGCAGCACAGCAAGAGCTCGGTGCAGTGGACCGGTGGCTCGGTAATGTGCCTGAAAGATGACCAAAGTGTTTCAACGGCGCTGATTGGTTGTGATAGCAGCCCAGCCCTTTCGCGATTTCAAGTCGAGGTGTGCCCCTGATTTGCAGCCACAGATTTGTTTCACCGGCAAAAGCGACCTAGGTCAAGAGTTAAAACATGCAAAGTGTCAGGCAGCTTTTGGACAAAGTTAGATGGAATATTGAAAAAATCTTCAGAAAAATACTTGCAACAATTCTTCTTTTCAGAGTGTTGAGTCATGGTTTACAAACAGCGGCTCTTTGTACTTCACTTCAAAAATGCTGCCAGGATTGGAGCGGATGGCTTTTTTGGACGGAGAGAGGATGGCTTTTTTGGACATGGTGAAGCAACGAATGTATTTTTTGGACGCGGTGTCAACCATTTTTTTGGAGGGGACTCAATAAAAAGATTGGAAGACCTAATGGAAAACAGCTCCATGGAACAGGAAGATCGTGACACATTTCCCAAGTTCGAAATTGTCGTTAGTGGAATTAATCAATGTATTATCTCAAGTTGGTTTTGGGTTCCAAAATGTCTGGAGACTTCTAATCTTGGGTTGGTGAACCGGCAGGGACGGAGACAGCGGTCCAACCGTACTTCAGCTAAGGTCACTTGGCACAGCGTTGACTCACCTTTCTGAGATAAGTTAAGACCTGCACCGACACTAAAATCCCATATCATTGGCTTATAAATTACCCTTGTGCAAATCAATCATCACTCCAGTGCAGCACAATCCCAAGTCTTACTATATCTAAATTTTTGCGAATTCAACCATGGTTTTCTGCAAAATACGGAGGGTCACTTCAGGAGTTACTACCAGCGGGCACTGAGAAAACCCTGGCGGTCATACCTCCAGGCGCGGGGAATGTGTTGGGTTTAACCAAGAAAATTACGAACTACACATAACTATACTGTCATCAAACATGCTGCTAACTTGTGGTGCATCAAACATGGTGCGTTCACCAATAAATACTGGGCATTGGATACTAGCTCTAGGCAGTTCTGCCCACTCATACCACTGAGCATCACATGAAGACTATCTCTGGTGGCATGACGCATTCACCGTAAGGCCTGTGAACTCTTTCAATATGTGAAGATGTGGCCATTTTATTGGAGAATATTATGCAGATCACCACGTGGAATTTGACATACCTTATTTTCAGATCTCGGGGTTGCGGCTGTGTACCTTGGTAGATCTTACGTATGGCTATAGCTCGGAGCATGACATTGCGAATATATATATATATATCTATATATATATATAATAAGATACAGTGACATAGGTCCTATTTACTATAGAGTAGCATTATCATAGGCTAACTCAATAGGTCCAGCAATCTTTATCCCTAGGGGCTAAATCAAGCAATCTAATGATTTGACCAACACCCATTGATTGAACCCGGCTACTCCCGCTTGATTTCAGACAAATTGGCGCCTTACCATCCAACAAGATGACTTTGGCGGAGGGTTCTTAGGAAACACCCTAAACAGAGGTTTCTAGATGGGAAAATCTTCTATAACCTCTAACCAGGAGATTTTTCCAGCACGCCGCGTTTGATCAACGAGCGGAGGGTGAATTTTGTTTTTCTTTGGGAACTACCGAAGACATGACACAAAGGAATCCCATCTGTTGCAGGAGATATCTAATGATAATATATATATATATTTACTATATATTATATATTATGTACTATATGATGATATCTACTGATTAACATTACAAATTACAAATTCAATAACTACATTCCCACCTTACAACCGCTGAGGTTAGGGATTTCACGGTGCTGGTGGTCTTCTTCGTGACCTGGGGCTTCATGTGCACCGTTGCGTCGTGGGTTGGTCGATGGACGATCCAATTGGAGTGTCCCAATCTTGGAACCAAAATACCTATAATTTCTTTGGAATAAGGTAGAACTATGATGGTATATATAATATAGTCTAATATAATCAAATATAATATAATATAAAATTATATAATTTGAATTACTATAGTTTAATATAGTATCATATAATATGATGTAATATGAGATAAAATATTCTAGTATAATATCATAAAATTTAGTAAAATATAGTAAATTATGATATAATATATGATATGATATAGTATAGAATAATATCATATGATTTAGTTTAATATCATTTAATATACTATAATGTCATGATTTGGTTTTTGATATGATATGATATTGTATGATGTGATTTGATTTCATATAATATACCCTAATATTGTAAAGTATAATATAATACAAGATAGTAAAAAATATAAAATAATATAAAATAATATGATATACTATAGTATATTTTGTAATATTAAGTAATAAAATAAAACATAACATAATGTAGTGTAAGAAAATATAATATGATATAGTATAATACTCTAGAATAAAATAATATAATATAACATCATATAGTATACTATATTTTAATTTAATATAATATAATATAATGTAATTTAATATTATATATTGATCTAATATACTCTAATATGCTTTAATGATAATACAGTACAATATAGTTTATTATTTTATATAACAAAGTATAATATTATATTGTATAATATATAGTATAGTATATTATAATATAATATCATATAATATAATATCATTTAATATAATATAATTTCATATAATTTAATGTTATACTATATATATGTATATATGTATATATGTATATATGTGTATATGTATATATGCATATATGTAGTAACTATGACATTGGGATGGATTAAACTACCTTGAGATATGATTTGGGGTATGAACAAGGCTGTGAACATCCATAAACAAGGCTATGAACAAGGGTTACATCATTGGGGTACCGTGAAGTGGCTGATTGGGGCCAGATTTCAAGGAAATGGGGCTGGGAACCAAGAAGATCAACAGCTTTTCTCTCCATTTGCAAAGGCCAAAGTCAAGTGTGTTCAATAATGTCACCCAAAATAAAGGCATATCAAATCAAGAGTTGGATTCCGTGACCCCGATAAAAACAAAACACGACTTCAGCTTTAAGTTCAGCGGCAATAATAACAATTTTTGGCTGGATGAACCCCCATTTTTTCTTTGCGAATCACTACAAGCATCACTACAAACTTTAAATATACAGTGAAAAATATCTAAGCAATTCATTCAACAGTTTCTTGCTTTTATTGCTGATGATCCTTACACTTCTTTGTTTTGTGTTGGGTTTGCTCACTAGCAGGGTCGCTTTATGTCGTCACCAGGTACATCAAGTATGATGGCTCCGGGGACACTGCGGGTATCGCCCAGCGATTAGCAGCCACCCACAACCTCAACCGGAAGCTCACTCAATCGGTATCCAATCTGATATCACTCTTAACTTTTCTAGGGCAGTCCCATTCACTCCTGCCACGCCATATTGAGGCCAGACGTTGCCGAGGAACACCTGACGCAATGACCTGTCAAAAAGAACGCCTGCGCCACAAACCGAACCTAAGATTGGAGATACATATTAACCTACGCAGATAATTAGTAGAATTATATCCTCACCAAAAGGCAAATATACTTGAAACTAAATATCAGTTAATGGCTAGGCCTCTTATTGGCCACGGCTGAGCAAACACAACCCCGTTGCTCAGCTACCATAACCACCGTATCTAATTGATGAAATGACCCCCGGACCCGGGGGTCATTTTGGGGGTCATTTTAGCTCAGCAACAGGGGAATGTGTCGTCACAATGCGGCGTCAGGGGGGGGAATGTGGCGTCAGGGAATGCGGCGTCAGAATGTGGCGTCAGGGGGGGAATGTGGCGTCAGGGGGGGAATGTGGCGTCAGGGAATGTGGCGTCAGAATGTGGCGTCAGGGGGGAATGTGGCGTCAGGGGGGAATGTGGCGTCAGGGAATGTGGCGTCAGAATTGGCGCGTTCAGGGGGGGAATGTGGCGTCAGTGTGGGTCAGAAATGTGGCGTCAGGGGGAATGAGCAGAATGGCGTCAGAATGGGGTCGTCAGGGGGAATGTGGCGTCAGGGAATGTGGCGTCAGAATTGGCGTCAGGGGGGGGGAATGTGGCGTCAGGGGGGAATGTGGCGTCAGGGAATGTGGCGTCAGAATGTGGCGTCAGGAGGGAATGTGGCGTCAGGGGGGAATGTGGCGTCAGAGAATGTGGCGTCAGAATGTGGCGTCAGGGGGGAATGTGGCGTCAGGGGGGAATGTGGCGTCAGGGAATGTGGCGTCACATCATCAGGGAATGTGGCGTCAGAATGCGGCGTCAGCGTCAGGCCGTAAAGTGCTACACCGTGTGCCGCCACCCTGAATTAATGCATATATATATATATTTATGATTATCTATGTATATATATATATATTTATATATACAATATATAGATATGAATTAATGCATATATATATATATTTATGATTATCTATGTATATATATATATTTATATATACAATATATATAGATATGAATTAATGCATATATATATTTATGATTATCTATGTATATATATATATTTATATACAATATATAGATATGAATTAATGCATATATATATATATTTATGATTATCTATGTATATATATATATATATATTTATATATACAATATATAGATATGAATTAATGCATATATATATATTTATGATTATCTATGTATATATATATATATTTATTTATATATACAATATATAGATATGAATTAATGCATATATATATATATTTATGATTATCTATGTATATATATATTTATATACAATATATAGATATGAATTAATGCATATATATATATATTTATGATTATCTATGTATATATATATATTTATATATACAATATATAGATATGAATTAATGCATATATATATATATTTATGATTATCTATGTATATATATAATATTGTATTATTATAATTATATGTATATAATTGTATATAAAGAATACATACATACAGCTGAGGCAGGCAAGTATCCAAGCCCAAGGTATGGGAATTGCCCACTGCGACATCAGTGCTGAGAACGCGCTGGG